TTTTTTTTTTTAGTCACGTGACTTAGTAATCAACACGCTTTTTCCGGTTTCCCTTTTCGTAAAATTATTCTTACTGTAACTGTGAGATGTGAGCCTTTTTAACGCAAAAGTACAAAAAAACAATGTCAGAAAAACAGCGGACACTTCCGCCGTGGATGGCGAAAAAGGAGGTTAAAGTAAAAGAAAAGATGCCATTGAAGACTAGGAGAAAAAGGAAAGCTGCAGCAAGGTATTACAAAAAATACGTCTTGTCTTGACATTTCTGGTTCAGTTGAAGCTCTTAGAGGTCTGTCCTGTTAACAATGACGCACTAACATGTCCCCAGAGCTACTTTCTACTGTATGAACGAGGCGGAGCTGGTGGAAGCGGCTGTTTCGTATCTTACAGACTGTTTCTGTGAGGATGTGACGTCACCGGTCGGCCAGCAGGTGGCAGTGTTTATCACTTTTCATTTGTTAAAAATAAACACTATAAAATATGTAGACTGTACCATCGAAAACGCGCAGTATAGGCCGTTCTGTGCATTTGTGTATTGATAATCTAACTAGAAGCAGGACTGAAAACTGTAAAGAGACAAAGCAAGGGACGATCGCCCCCTAGTGGGCGAACAAATGGGACATTTTCCTGACTACTGGTAAAGAAAAAAATATATAAATGGTAATTGCTTATATAGCGCTTTATCAAGTCCCTCTGGACCCCAAAGCACTTTACATCATTAGTTAGCTTGTATGGTGTGCAAAGGACATTCATCGATGGATTTGCTTCATCCATTTTATTGATGTTTTATACTTATTATAGGATAGGTATAGTAAAAGTATAGTAAATGTTTAGATAAAATGCATACATGCATTGTAAAATGTTGAAAAAATTAAAAAACTCACTCCTAACTACTTTAATTTTGTTGTATATGCAAAATTTGTGAAGCTTCTTGAAATTTTCCCTTAAACATATGTTTCTCCCACACATGCAGTTTGAAAAAGAAGCAAAGGACCCCTCAGCAACCAAAGCAAAACACTGTATATCACCAGTGACAGCAAAGCCTTTGGAAGAGATCTTGGAGGATGAGTCCTCGGACTGTTCTACCGACCTGGAAACAACATACGTTTCAGAAACAGACTTGGACACCACAGAGGTTGAAACCCTACCGTACACCCGGAGCCTAAAGCGTCCTGAGTCAGAGACGGGATCAGGAGCAGCTCAGGATGATCATGGACTCAGAAACACTGATGAGGGAGTTGTAAAAGAAAAGCAGACGGCAGAAGATGCGACAGAGGAGGACGATGCTGTACAGCTTGTGCGCGAAATTTTTTTCACTTGATCAAACGCCACTGAAATTGGGACTTTGTAGTTTAACCTTGTAGTTTTTGTGGTAAATTGTAAACATTTTTAGATTATTGTAGTTCAAATTTAAAAATTATAAGTGGTCTGTCATTTTGAACAAAACACAATCTTTTATGACTACTGAAAAGTTGTTGGCAAAAAATAAACAGGGCTTTCTTTTAAAAATACCAAGACAGGAGTCTTGCAACCACTGTTTGTCATCCTCTTATAAAAAGGAGAAACAAATACTCCTCATAGATATTAAACTAAAACTTTAATATCACACTTAGTCATCAAATATGTTAATTAAAATTTTCATGCAGCAGAACTCACAAAAAAAACTTGGCAACTATCAGCAGCAACTGAATACATTACGTGCGTCACACAGTTCCACCCTGTTGCTCAAAAGTTAAACAAAAATATAAATCAAGGGGGAAAGGTTGGAATTGTTTCTGATGAATCAGTTTTTCCTACTTGACATTAGCTTGCAGCAGTTTGTTTATACTTTGTTACAGCAACAGAGACAATGCACTTTGTTGAGCTGATTATATACAAAAAGGGTAAACCAAACAGTTGGTTGTAAAAAAAAAAAGTATGTATTAAAGCAGGTGGCATTTGAACCCTTTTATTTCCAGTCAGACGGTAAATGTTTCTATCTGTGTGATGACACACAAATAAAACCAGAGGGTCGTGTTTCCAGCTCACATAAGACTGGTACTGGTGTGAAACAGTAGTGATGCTGACCAGCGTCAGTGTGCTTGATGCCATGGCAGGAAGTCTCCATGTGACTCATGATCTGTAAAAACTAACTATTGCAACAGAAATAAAATCATTTGAAATCCAAAAATGGTAAGTTTAAACACCTTTGCTTCAGTAAAAACAAGGATTACTTCTATTAAATGTATTATTTCTGCATCACTTTGTTATTGACATTTTGAACATGAAGCCACCAAGTCACAGGTTTAAACAGATCAATGCATCAAGGTTACTTCCTATGATTACTTCCATATTTATACATAAACACTTGAGCTCACTTCAAATGCAAATGAGGTCGTTTTACATGTGATCATGTTATCAGTTCTAAACTTGCCAACTTTATGGAGCGTAAAACAAACAAACAAATAAATAATAATCTGAACCTGAGATTGATTAAAAGTGTCTTGATCCATTTTGTTTTATTTACTTGCATTTGTGAAAAGGGAGAAAGCTGAATAGACTAATGACACATTGAGTTGTTTCGAGCACGTAAAGAGGAAGTGTCACGAGACGGTGTTTAAAATCAGGTGACTAATAGGAGTGAGGCCACACTGAGGTCACAATGGTTGGGAATTTTTTTTTTTTTTTTTTTTTTTTTTTTTTTGTCCAGAAACTCCCTGACAAATTATTTGATTTTCACCATCAGGCGTTTTTTTTTTTGTCCTGGTCTCTCATGAACAAGCAAACTGTCTCTGCTCTTCGTTATTTCATATGGAAGAAATTTAGTTTAAGCAGAGAACATTTTTTGATACTTTCAACATAATCTTATTCTGGTAGGTCAGCTTTTTACCATATTTTGTCTATAAGTAATATTCCCATTTTTCCAATATGCTAATTTTTTGGTGGCATTTCTTCAGAAAGCTGCATGTGATCAGGCAGAATTCAACAATTAGTTACCAATAGGCTACTTCTAAACCAATGTAAGGGAATTGTGTCTTAACTCACTTTCTTGCAACAACATAACGGCTACATCGGAGCTGGAATCAATCGATTTGCGGATGATGAGACTTGGAGAAATGCCTGGCTTTTGCCAAAAAATTGTCAAACTCATGCACAAGATTTATCCAGCAAAAACTGTAGTTTCTGTCATCTTGCCCCAGAATCTCTGAAGTCCTCTGTGTCCTCGTTCCAATATATTGATTCAAAAACATCCACTAACTTTAAAAATTGTTTTCTGGAAAGATGGTCTGTTTGGCTTCCAGCAAAGTTAAATAAATAAATAAATAAATAAATAAATAAATAAATAAATAAATAAATACAAAGGAATAATCATTGCTAATCATGCAACATAGCGTATAACTCAGCTATGATGAATGAACTCTCCTGATCCTGTTCAGTCTCCAGTTGCACAAACGTTTAACTTTATCCCTTCACAAATAGATTTGAGTTTTTTATTCATTTTACAAAAACATATGCATTGTTTATGTACCAAAATAGGAGTGATGGTGATCAAAAGTAACACAAAGGTTCTTTACATTATTGGCCCGCAGAGGAAGTGAAAAGCTGCATGCACCACAGTCCCTGAAACACAAAATATTTCATGACTGCTTCATTCAAGGCCAGCAAATTGAGCTTTGGTTTCTGCGTGCTCGTGGGCGCAGATCGCGAACGCGCACGGTGCGCTGCAGGCTCGGCCCCGCCGGACGCGCGCTCCAACAGGCACTTTTGACGCACAGGGCTCCTCGAAGTTGAGAGATCATCTGCGATCCTTTAAAAATAAATCAATCAATCGACTTCGACCACAACTCAAACGAGGCTGTAAAGGTGGGTGAAGATTCTGTTACGTTTTAGAACTTTTAAATTAAATCTTGAAGTTAGATGTTTTGACTGCTGCGCACTTTGGAGAGATTTAACTTTTCCAGCACAAAAGGGAGGCGGGGTCGTCAGAAAGTTTTTATTTATTTATTTATTTTTGTATTGGTTTTGCTTAAACCAGCAATTAATAACCAAAAATATATGAAATGAATTATTAGTGAAAGCACCTTAGGCGGGACTACTTATATTGTGCGATTCAAAAATGAAAAAAGAAAAAAAAAACTTGAAACATGAGTCTATAAATCATAATTATCTGTATAATTTAAAATGTTAAAATGTATTTTCTTGGATAATAAAGAAAAGAAACGACCGTTTAAGGGTCTAAAATGCATGTTAGGCCTGTCCCCTGAAGCTGTAGATGCTGCAGGAAGGAGACCATGGACCATGGAAAGTTTCTGCTCATCTACTTAATTAAATCCTGATGACTTCAAGAGTCTTTCTGTTTGCATTTGGACTTTATAACCCTGAGCAATTTGCACCAGCCAAACCATAATCAATTCAACTGCAAAGTCACGAACAGGAATGCTGTGTAAATTATTTTAAATGGGCGATAAAACTTGTATTTACTGTTATTAATGTTATAAATATTAAATTCATATTTTCCCCCCACTGTGCAGGTTGATCATGGGAAACCGGTTCAGCAGAAGGAGAGATGCCCCGGTCAGCAGTGCTGGAACTGTGGTCACGGAGGAAAAAACTGAAGCAGAACCAGCAACAACTGAAGAGGAGAACTCTGAGATAACACAGACTCCGGAGGCTGTCGAGACCGAGCAGCTGAAGGCCGGTGAGTCAGAGGCCTGTTCACCCAAACATGAATCAGGGAGTAAAGACATGCAGAGTCTGACCTCAGCCCCACAGAAGGATGCCGAATCAGAGTCAACTGTGAAGGAAACTCCACCTCCGGTCCAGAATGAACCTCTCCTCTCGACCATCAAACCTCCAGAACCAGAAGAGCTTGCAAAGCCTGAACCTGATACTGAAGCTCAGCTTGCTCCAAACCCAGAACCTCCCTCGCACCAAGAGTCAGATTCTGGGCCCATCTCAGAGCCAACCACAGCCGAACCTCTGGAGCAGTACACGGACCTGCTCAACCAAGAACCCCTCCCCGAGTCATTCTTCTCTTCACCCCCTTTGATCGACTGGAGTGCTCCTGATACAGTGTCTGCACCAGCTTCCACCCCGGTGTCTGAGCTGCCCAACATCTCGGCAGCTGAGCAACACGAAGGCAGGGCCGAGCCTGTCGGGGGCTCCACGCTGGAGCCGGAAAAGTTCACAGAAACACCCGAATTTCTGGAAGAGGAGGCTGCAGGGTGTACGAAGACGCCCGAGAGTGATGTCGATGAGGAAAATGTTTGTGAAGTCCTGCAAAACTTAGAGCTTAAAGGAAACGACCTTCTGAATGACCTCATTCAGGGTGAAGTCAAGATCCCAGAAGATGCGCCCATCCCAGACGTGAGCGCATCCATCGAGCTGATGTGAAGCCATGAAGAGGATTCTGTGCAAACTTCAACACTATACTGAACAAATTAGAAATGATGTCACCCCAAGTGTTCCAATTAAAACAAATATCATTTTCTTTGCTACAAAACAAACTGATCTAAAATCCTAAACTGAGGTTTTCTATTTTTTTTCTCTAAATTTAAGCAGTTTGTATACAGAAAGTGTGTACATAGGATCCAAAAGCACACGAACTACACGTGTTTTAAGTATATCTACAGACAACAGAGATTTTCCTCTGAGCAAACTCAACAAATTGATCACGTACAAAGGAGTCAGTGCTGTACAGCACTGAAACGAATTCAAACATCAGACATGAGACAGAAACCGAAGCCAAAGATGTCAGATGTGTACATTCCACAATATAACAGAGAAGAAATGCCAAAAACTATTTATGTATTGACACGATGTTCGGACATTGGTCAATTTTGTTTGAAGATGTGGCTTGCTTGTGAAAATAAAAATAGTATATCTATATTATGGTCCTTTTTTTTTACTTGAACTGGTCATTTAAGATGGATTGATGAAGAGTCAATAAGGAAAAGTAGCAAAGATGATCATAGGAGTAAAATGGTTTAAAAAAGCAAAACAGTTACGAACTTATTTAAGCTGATAGCAGCATGCAGAACTAGTACTTCTATAACTCAGACATGGTAAGGAAACTGCAGTTTGAACACCATGTAAGAAAAATTGTATTTTTTCATCGTCTCACGGGAGAGAAGATGTGAGGAGGAGGGGGACTGGGCCGCATTCTTTCCAGAGGAAGGAGGTTTTCGGGGGGCCTGGGTCAAAAGTCTTTAGTGGGTCTGCGTTTCAGTCCATGAGAAATCTGCTCCTCAGATGCCTCTCCCACCACATTCCCCCTGCCCTCACTGCTATCCCAACATCTTGAACAAGCAGGCAGGGAGTTATTAAGAGAAGCCTCAACGAAACGTGAAACAATAATAAAAAAATACTGATTACTGAAACATGCAAAGAAGAAGTGTTTTATATTACAGGATAAAAAAAAACACTGTCCAGGCACACCTAACTAACAGCTCCTGAGTCAGAGCATGGCAAATGGGTAAACCCCTGGTTTTGACAAAATACCGACGAGTCCCCAAAGAGTGGGAGAGGCATTCTTTAGACAGTGATCTCAGTCCAGCTCAGCTCGAGTAAAGGATAGTTTGCAGACTGAGCTGCTTCTTGATGCACGCAGAGAATAGATAAACAGCATGGTGTGTACTATTTGTGATTCCTGTCATACCAAAGCCTTTTGGCTCGATAAACAAAAAGTGCTGGACTTCAGTCCCCTCTCCCCTTGTTGATTTCCTGCCTCTCTCTGAACTGCGATGGCCGAAGCACACACACAAAGAAAACAGAACTTGGTATTTGCTTCCATTAGATCATGTGTCAAATAGTTAGGAGAGGATTTTTTAAGAGCAAAGCGTAAATGTAAAAACAAAACTCCTCTTCTGCTTTTTTAAAAATAAAATAAAATGGAAACTTAAACACAAGAATACATTAACATACCAAACTGCAAACACTTTCAAGTTTATTCCATTGAACTTTTATGCAACAGAACACATCTATAAATAAATACAAACCTAACAGTTTTTTTTATTCTGAAATAAAATTATATATATATATTAATTTAGATTAAATATTAATAAATACTTAACAGCAAACAGATTTTCTGACATTCTCTTAAAAACACAAATTTGTTAAAGAAAATATTTTCAAACCTTAAAACCATAGCGATTTATTTAAAACCAACTAAACACTAACAGTTAATTGAAATATTGTTTTGTGAAGAATGTAGTGTTTTAACTCATTCTAATTAGTCAATATTTAAATGGGCAGAACAGTCTTGTCAATCAACTGAGTTTTAAAGGGTCCGTGTCATTAGGCTGGCCCAAGATTTCAGGGCTAGGATTACACAGAACCATCTTTGAGTTTTCATTTCTGAGGGAAAAGCTGAACAATAAAGAATGTCTCTTTGTAATCAGACACATTTTAACACTTCTGCTTTGCCATCAACCTCCTGTATTTCATGGCCAGATCAACATTGGTGCGTCCAGCTTGGAAGGGATAGGACCACAAGATAGAGTTCCAGGAGGACCCGTATTTCTTCACTCCAGACAGAAGGTAATGGATCTCCTCACGGCTGAAGTTCTGTCTCTTCCTTCTCTATCAACACAGAAAGAAAACAAAATGTATAAAATAAAGATATAACTTCAACACAACACAACTGCCTCTCAGTTTATCTCTCATAAAGTCTTACAGAGGAACAGGAGTCTGTGCTCATCTTTGACTGATCATTAATGGGGCTCCTTCCTCTTCTCTCTATTTAAAACATTGAACATAGTTGACAAAAAAAAATCTACATTGAAAAACAACACTGCAAAATGGAAAATGCAGGGGAAAAAAAGCATGTGTAATAGGATGAAAGTGGGACACTGAATGTGTGTGCTGGAAAAAGCACACACATTACAGTGCAGTGTACTCTAAAACAGCCAGCCTGCAGCTTTTACGCCACAGAAGGCATCTAAAGGTATGAAAGAAGCAAAATCTGAAAAACACAACAAATAAACATTCATTACATCATCATTTGTGTGCTTGTACAGTCTACTCACATTCCTAATACATTAGATGAAATGATTCTAACTTCATGTTGCACACAAACGTATGCACAGCGGCGGAGTGTGAAAAAAGCTTAATCCAGCTGTGGGGCTCTGAACCAGCTCTGCCCTGCTCTGCCAGGATGCTGGCTGCAGCTCAACATTCTTCACTACATTTGTCTGCTGCCAGAACGACATTGCAGAGGACAGCTCCCACCGCAGACCCTCAATCATAACATTCACACACACATTATGCAAATACCCAATTCAGGCCCGTCTTCGTGCCGGTGGTTTCTTTTTAAGGGCGTCAAGGAAGGCCCTAAAATAAAACAATCAAACTTGTTGAATATGGCAAAGTTTTATGGTGTGTATGATTGGCAAGTAATATAAAAGTACTTTTACCAATTCTTGTGTGAGAGGTAAACATCTCCTTTTCAGTTCTCCTACACAGCGGGGTCAGATTGATGCCTACAAATAAGATACAAGCCAAAATACACACACAAAAAACAAAATATATACAGTGGGTAAAATAAGTATTGAACACGTCAACATTTTTCTCAGTAAATATATTACTAGAGGTGCTAATGATATGAAATTTTCACCAGATGTCGGTAACAACCCAAGTGATCCATACATACAAAGAAATCAAACCATAAATGTCCAGAAATGAAGTTATTTGTAATAATGTGGAATGGCACAGGGAAAAAGTATTGAACACATGAAGAAAGGGAGGTGTAAAAAGGCATGGAAAGCCAAGACACCAGCTGAACTCTCTCAGTAATTAGAAAGCAAGCCTGCCCCTTGTCAGTGAAAATTAATATCAGCTGGTTCAGTCCCACATGATGGCCAGGTATCACACAAGAACCATCTGATGATGGGTAAAAGTAAAGAGCTCTCTCAAGACCTTCACAACCTTATTGTTGCAAAGCATAATGATGGCATCGGTTACAGAAGAATGTCTAAACTTCTGAAKGTTCCAGTGAGCACTGTTGGGGCCATAATTCAGAAGTGGAAAGAACATTATTTCACCATAAACCGACCACGACCAGGTGCTCCTCACAAGATTTCTGACAGAGAAGTGAAAAGAATTATCAGAAGAGTTGTCCAAGAGCCAAGGACCACTTGTGGAGAGCTTCAGAAAGACCTGGAATTAGCAGGTACGTTTGTTTCAAAGAAAACAATAAGTAATGCACTGAACCACCATGGCCTGTATGCACGCTCACCACACAAGACTCCACTGCTGAAGAAACAGCATGTTGAAGCTCCTTTAAAGTTTGCTGCACAACATTTAAACAAGCCTGTGTAATACTGGGAGAATATAGTCTGGTCAGATGAGACCAACATTGAACTGTTTGGATGCCAGAATACACATGTTTGGAGGTCAAATGGCACTGCACATCAGCCCAAAAACATCATAGCAATAGTGAAGTTTGGAGGTGGGAACATCATGGTGTGGGGCTGTTTTTCAGCATATGGTACTGGCAAACTTCAAATAATTGAAGGAAGGATGAGTGGAAAAATGTACAGAGACATTCTTGATAAAAATCTGCTTCCATCTACCAGGATGATGAAGATGAAATGTGGCTGGACATTTCAGCAAGACAATGAGCCCAAACACAAAGCCAAGGAAACTCTCAGTTGGTTTCAGAGAAAGAAACTAAAGCTGCTGGAATGGCCCAGCCAATCACCTGACCTGAATCCAACAGAAAATCTATGGAAAGAACTAAAGATCAGAGTTCATAGAAGAGGTCCACGAAACCTTCAAGATTTGAAGACTGTTTGTGTGGAAGAATGGGCCAAAATCACACCTGAGCAATGCATGCCACTAGTTTCTCCATACAGGAGGCGTCTTGAAGCTGTCATTGACAACAAAGGCTTTTGTACAAAGTATTAGATAAATTTCAGTAAGTTGTTCAATACTTTTTCCCTGTGCCATTCCACATTATTACAAATAACTTCATTTCTGGACATTTATAGTTTGATTTCTTTGTATGTATGGATCACTTGGGTTTTACCGACATCTGGTGAAAATTTCATGTCATTAGCACCTCTAGTAATATATTTACTGAGAAAAATGGTGACGTGATCAATACTTATTTTACCCGCTGTATATATAAGATATTGTGTCAGTTTAATATAACAGGAAACAGCTGTTATTCTGATCATCTCCTAAACTTTGAGGAATGATTTACAAAACAACAAGCTTAGTCTCTAAAGTGCTAAATCATATCTAGATAATTTGATCATACGAGCAGTAAGTTCGTTTGTAAGTCTGGCAAACTGAGCTCTTAGAAAGCAGTCAAACTTATTGAATTAGAAATAGTTACAGCTGTGAAATCAGGACTCGTTTTTCTGGAAACTGGTGCTGAATTAACTGAAAAAGTCAACATGTGATCCTCAGTTAATCACGTTTTCAGCAGATTTGAGTTTAAATTCAAAAACTTTAAACTGACTGAGCGACTCCAATAATTACAGCTTCAGAGAACCCACCACTGGAATTATAATGGCCACATGACATAAAGCCCTGCTGCTAAGTAAATGATTTATTCCTGTTTACTTGTTTTATTTGAACTCTATTTCTTTATTTCCATTCGTGTTAACTGGTAAACTGTTGTGTGGATTTACTGATTCCATGCAGTGCTTCAAGATTAATGGAATGATTGTTATTTTCTGTGTAGATCTTACATTTGTGCTTCCACAAGGAGGATTGTGGCAGAAGGCTCTTGTCATTTCCTGCTGTTAGAAATCAAACAATTTAACAAAGTGCCTGAATTGTAATCAGTGCTTTCTATTTAGATACTTAAAATCATGGTTATGAAATCATTCAAACATAAAATGACTGATCCAAAAACTTAACAATATGGCGGATTGGAAGGAGGCCCAAGACATATAAAAGTGTGAAGCAGTGACAGTATCAGTTATGAATTATGCTTTAATACAAACTGATATTTTGAACATTATAAACAAGGTCTGAAAGTCAGCCCACATAAATAATATTCAATACCAAATGCCCCAATGTTGACAAAATATTCCTATCAAACAGTAAAACTTCTTACCACTCCAGCTTTTACAGCTTTTCTGTGACTTTACTGGTGACACTCTTAGTGAGTTTGTGTGTCTGTTCTCCACGACGACATTCTGATGACCTTTCGTCAGTGCAAAGTTAAGACGATGCTTCCTGAATCTCTCGTTGGCCCGTTGGAGGACTCTGTGCGTATCGCAGCTGTTGGAGCAGGAGCTTTGGAGAGACGCAAAAGTGCGACTGGTCACTTCTTCGAAAGATAACACACAACCTAAAAAAAGAGAAATAACAGCTGTACAATTGCCGAACGTAAACAACACGTGCATTAATATTGAAACTGTTTCAGTCTGAATTTATAAACAAAAAGCGCTGTTTTATTTTCCATCTAATGACTTCCAAACAAAGCTGGAACGTCAACAAAATGACAAGTAAAATGTGTTAAAGATGACAGATTACACTTATAACGTGTAGCAAACACGAGCTTCTCAGATTATCTTGCCAAAAGAATGAAAAAGATAGGTTCCTCTTTTTAAACGTGGAATAAAAAAACCCATCCTGTACGATACATTACTGTGTTTTTATCAGTCAATTCGCTAACGCAGGAAATGAAAATATTTTACTGTGAGGCACCTTTACAACCCCCTACCTGCGCACCGGATGTGAGACACAGAATGTTCTTCCTCTGGTATCTTCTCCACCTGACTTAACTCACTGTCCTGGAAGTCTAAAAAATCCAACATACAAATCAAAACAAGAAACTGTACATATTGCTGACAAACATGAAGCCACTCCTCTTACCATCCACATGGATGATTGTTTGCCACGATGGTAATGCTTTTCTAAACAGCTGACTAAACAAAAACGAGAGAGAGTTAATTAAGCACACATTTTCTCTTTTTTCTGATAAATAACCAAATCTGATGGACATCGCTTACTTGTTTGCCGTATGTGACTCACTGCTGCTCTCTAAGGGCCAAACCCGAGAAGACACGAGGGCTCCTTCTCTCCTGTTCACTGGAAACATCACCTCACCTCTACTGGTTTTAGCTTTCTCTGCCAGAAGATTCAAACTAGAAGGGATTTCTTTCATTTCGCTATTATTGGTTTTCTCAGTCACGCTCAGATTGATGGGATGGTTAATACTGCCTTTTTGCACAGGCTTCTGTAATAGCTTGGCTTTGATGCCCTCCCTTCTCAGTGGTGGTAGAGGTAAAACTGAGAACTCAGATGATGGACTCTGACCTGCAGGTAAATCCGAAGCATTTATGTCTTCCTGCTCATCTTCTGCTTCCTAATAAATGTAATCACATGTAATCAGTACATACAGTGTACTGGAACTGTGCCCTGAGAGAGAGAGTGTGTGTACGTATGCACATACAACCTTCAGCTGATTTTTCTCTAGCACTTCAATCCTTTGCAGCATTTCTTTGGCTCCAGCTCTAACTCTTTCAATGTTGGCAAGGGCTTCCTCGTTTTCAGCCTGGTTTCCTATCAAACCATGCATTCCAATGCATATGGCTTCAAAAACAAATGGAAAACTCTGTATGAGAGCTACTGCATCCTTTTGTTTAATCAATGAATTTTCACAGTCAGAAAAGTAGAAAAGTCTACATATATATAT